CCATCGTACCTCATCATTACAGTGATGTGAAACCAATAGGACCAAGTCACGTGGTTCATTTAGTTGGACAAATGGGACCCCGTGAGCGCTATGGTTCCGCGTTCCGGAAAATGGAGGCACATTACACAAATTTGCATAGCAGAGTGAATTAGTCTTTGCACACATAATTCGCATGCTTTTCTATAGCTGACAGTTATTACGATGGTCTAGATGGCAGGTATGAGTCAATTTGTTTGACTTTCGGTTTTGCCCATATGACTTTTGTGGAATTCCTGGTTCGTTGCATGTGTTCTTTTCGCCTATTCAATGAGTTTAGACGGGAAAAATTCATACCATCTTTAGAAGAATAGATTCGAACTGATTGCGTCTACGAGAAAATTATAGTTAGTGCTCAATGAATACACAAAGAACAATTGTGAAGGAAAATGAAACAGACGCACATATTTGAATAATCATTCCACAAGAAATATTAGGGAGTCCAATTTTATTTGATTAGTTCGTCAGAAGAGTTAAAAATAGGTCGACCTCGCCCCCTCTATTGGAAATTTTCGAATTACAGTAGTAGTATTGAGGTACCACTAACATTGGTGAGTAGTATGGTCGGTGTCCGCAGTCAGAGGCGGTTGGCGAATTCTCACAATATTCAAAATTGAACAGTACATCTTGGAGTGGCTTGGTGTGTTTCGTATTGTAGCTAGAAGAGATGCGAACATATGGCTGAACCTATCGACCACTGATCCCGGGAGCCTCATGAAAGTGGGAATACTCTGCTTTAGATGAGACGTCTCGTTCTGTGAAATCCCAGTTACTCCCAATAAAGTTTTTCTTTCAGATAAACACGTTCCATCAGTTCGGCACTGGTCTCGCGGAGTTATAAAACAGTAAGTAATTCGTTCGAGTACGAACTGACGGTGCGCGCGTGTGTATGAGGGACAGAAACGACGAAGCTGAGGCGGTTCACATCGTGGAGAACATGGTATAAATTAGCGCTTACCTTCCGTTTCCGGACTTTCTTTGCGAACGAACGGATGTAGCGCGTCATCGAGATCGAACTGTAATGAACGGATATAAAAACGTTTGTTGCTAGAGCACATTGATTGTGAAGAGTAACAGTGTCACGTCTACCGTATGAGTAATGCAATATTAACAACCATCGCCACCTACCACAAAGAATCATTTGGTTAGAGATATCTGCAAGGTCAAGAACGTTTCAGGGTTGGGAAAATATCATGACTGCAAAAAGTAATTCGACTCTGACAATGAACTGACTAACTCAAACAACACAGGCAAGTTTCGTATCAGATCTTACCTGTGAATAAAACCAGTGGTAAAGCCCCAGGTATGTCGAAGCCACAGAAGGAGCAAGCACTTTCTATAGGAAGAAAACGGAACAAAAAGGGGAGAAGATACAAGAAGTTGAGCTGAGTCGTGTTGGAAACAGAAACCGAACTATATGTATTCAAAAAATCGTCATGGTTATTAATGATTATGCACGAAAAGCCGACCAATGACAACGATAGTGTGCAGATATTCGTCAGACGAGCAACAGAAGGTAAGAGGAACTTCGCAGTCATTTCAAGCGATGCTCTCAAGAAGTGTCTCCTAAAACAATCCATATCGCAAGCATTTTTTTGGTAAGGTGTGTGAAAACTATGTGAGTTCATTCAGACATTCTCTCGCTCTGTTTGTTACTATTTGTTGCCTCACTTCTCCCACCTGTTACATGCAATGCTTGTTCTCCGTTCCGCGGTACACGCTTGCTCATGCCCGCCTATCTTCTCGTTTTGTACAAAGCTAAAATCCACCAGACACTTAAGTGCCGCTTTATGTTCCGTATTACTTTATCTTCTTGACCCAGGCCACAGTAAAGCCGTTTGATTCACTTTCTAATCACAACGTTTATTTTTTAGTTACCTCCAATCGTTAAACGGTTGCTTCGTAACCTCCGCTCGACAGCTATTATTTTCTGGCCCCGATTTCCATTTATATTTATTTACTTTTGAGCGACTGATACCTGCAGGAGAATATGTCAGCTTCCTGGATGTCTCTGGTGATGGCAGCAAACGCGTGATGATCAGCAGCAAGGTTGGCACAGTGTAAAACCCAGTTACGGTTCCAGATACGAATTCAATGAATAGATTGGAGGCCCAGTAATTCCAAATTCGCCTGATAGCAGTGCTCCAAGTCTTCAGCTGACCACCGAGTCAGCAAAGCCATCCATGGCACGGTGCAGGAGCTACAGTCCGCCGCGAGAGTCCAGTGTCGGGTCTTCGGAGCACGTGGCCAAACCACCGAAAGCAACGGTGTTGAAACATTTCCTCAAGCTAACCGACGTTCGAGAAACGCCAATGTGCTTTCAAGATGCAGCGTTGGCAACATTGGTCAAAGACCTAGAACTTCCTTGTATATTGTACTCTTAGCGCAAATGGAAACCCGATAAACCCAAAGTTTAGCGTTTATACTCATTTGACATTGGTTCCACAACAGTCTGAAGAGTTGCAAGAAGGCTTTCGAGCTTCATCTACATGAAGTTGGATTTTATCTTTAGCTTGACCGTTTGGGCTGATCGTAGAGCCAAGATACAAGAAAACATGAGTTGATTTCACCAGCTTCCCATTAATCGATAAGGGTTGTGTCGTGACAGAAGTTTCGGTCGAAAATGTTTTGGTTTTCGACGTATTGATCCCTTGCCCAATAGTCTGCGACTGATCACAAAATGAAGGTTGTTTATGGTGTCCCCAATTGCAACGACATCATCCGCAAATTTGAGATCTGCGATCTACGTATCTGGACCAAGCTGCACTCCGAGGTAGTCGATGAGTGCTTGTCGCATTATCCAATCTACAGTGGAATCGAATAACACCGGCGAGAAGGGACAAACTTGCTTCCCACCATTCTGTTGTACTTCTTCTTGCTTGATTGGTTCTCCTTTGGTTATGCGACCGTTGAACATTCGACTTAATAGGTGCACCAAGTATATTTTTAACTTGATATATATGATGAACTTCAATAAGAGAAAATCCAATCCTAGGGCTTCCTGAATGTATGGTCGATTAGATGTACCGAGGATAAGGTGTGAAGATGACGTCTGAAAAGTTATCAGTCAAAATCAAACGCAAAAAAACGAAATCACCAGAGAATTGACCGGCTACCTGAATGTCCTGTGGTAAGTGCTGATCAGTTCCAGATACATTATTGGACATAAACTGTGAAACAATGACAGCAACCAAAGACCGCGCGGATGAGATCACGGAACCTGATTGAATGACAGCCACTCGACCTTGTTTCTGTATAACTGACAGTCGGAGCTGATCGTACATAGACCGGTGATCCGGTGTGTTTACTCCAGCTAATACCACGGCCGTCGGGATTTGTCTCTGTTTTATCCGGTCGGATGAAGCAACTGATCCACCAAATTCATCGGATTGCCATTGCTCATGCGTTGTTTGGACAAAAGAGTCCAATTGGGCAAATATGTTTTGATC